CTCGCTGGTTTGGCTCAGCGGATAGAGCGACGGCCTGCGGACTGAAGGGTCCCAGGTTCAATACCAGTCAAGGGCACAGGCCCGGTTTGCAGGCTCGATCCCTAGTAGGGGGTGTGCAGGAGGCAGCCGATCGATGATTCTCTCTCGTCATTGATGTTTCTATCTCTCTCCCCTCTCCCTTTCTCTCTGAAATCAATAAAAAAAATGTAAAAGAAGTGTATTTTTAAAAAAAAGATTAAAACTTCCTGTGCTATGAAAGGCGATGTCAAGAGAATGAGAAGATCCGCCACAGACGGGGAGAAACCATTTGCAAAAGACACGTCTGATAAAGGACTGTTGTCCAAAATAAACAAAGAATTCTTAAAACTCAACAAGAAGAAAACAAACAACCTGATGAAAAATGAGCCCAGGACCTTATCACACACAGCGCCGAGGGGGATGTACAGACGCCAAGGGAGCCTACGAAAAGATGCTCCACATCCCGTGGCACCGGAGAAATGCTAATTAAAACAACCAGGTACCCGCGTGGCCCACATCCAGGCACTGCCAACACCAAACGCCAGTGAGGCTGTGATGCCGGCAGGGATGCCAAACTGGTCCAGCCGCGTTGGGAAACTGTTTGGTGGCTTTTTACAACACGAAACTGGCCCTGTCACCAAATCGTTCTGCTCCGGGGCATTTGCCCAGAGGAGTTAAAAGCTGTCCGCACGAGAACTGGCTCGTGAATGTTGAGTGCAGCTTGGTTCAGAATTGCCAAACTGGAAAGCCACCGAGGTGTCCTTCGGCTTCGTCAGCCTGGGCTGAGGCACCATGAACCAGGGGGTTTAGAAACAACTAGAATGTACTTGTCACAGTTCTGGAGGTTGGGAGTCTGGAATCCAGGTGCCCCTTGGGTGCTGGTAGGGACCCTCTTCCAGGCTGCTGACTTCTTGTTGGACCCTCACATGGACTAAGAGGCCTAGGGACTTATCTGACCTCTTCTTATATTTCCTTTTCTCCCTTAACTTTATTTATATAGATAGATTTATTTAGATATAAGATATATATGTATATAGATATATAGGTATATAGGTATAAATATATATCTACAGATAGATAGATGGATAGATATATAGATGTTGATATTAGAGAGGAAGGGAGAGGGAGAAAGATAGAAGCATCAATGATGAGAATCATTGATTGGCTGCCTCTTGCATGCCCCCTACTGGGGGTCAAGCCTGCAACCCAGGCATGTGCCCTGACCGGGAATTGAACCCTGACCTCCTGGTTCATAGTTCAACGCTCTACCACTGAGCCACACCAGCCGAGCTTTCCCCTTAACTTTTATGGAGTTCTGGCTCTGACCAGGACATGAATACCTAAAACTAGGCTAGGAAGGAAAGTTTCCCATTTCTTGAGTTACGTAATTTCCAATTAGCCTTCTTTGTATTTCTTTATGCTCAGCAAAAAAAAAAAAAAGAAGAAGAAGAAGAGAAAACTTAAAAAAAAAACTTTCCCTAAAAGCATTTTTAAATCCCTTTTCACACCAGGACAAAAAAAGTAGTCCTGTTTGGAACGGTCGGCTTTCTTCAAAAGCGTGGACACCTTCTGGGGGCTGCTCACATGGGCTCCCCAAATAGATGTGCAGATGAGGACATGGCGCGGGGAGCCTGGATCGTGCATAAGGTTGGGGTGCAGAGAAGTCTACCTTCGTCAGGGTCACCTCATACATATGTGAAAACGTATTTCCCCTTCTCTTTCTTCAAGGGAACACCTTAGGCTATAAGGTTGCACACAACACTTGGCAATCCCTTCCTTTCCTCAGAGCTTCCTGAGGAGCTAAGTAAATCCATCTTCTCAAAATGCATTTAGCCCTGGCCCGGTTCCATTCCGGTCAAGGGCACATGCCTGGGTTGTGGGCTCCATCCCCAGTGTGGGGCGTGCAGGAGGCAGCCGATCAGTGATTCTCTCTCATCATTGATGTTTCTCTCTCTCTCTCCCTCTCCCTTCCTCTCTGAAATCAATAAAAAAATATATATTTTTAAAATATCCCACTCAGGCCCTGGCCGGTTTGGCTCAGTGAATAGAGCGTCAGCCTGCGGACTGAAGGGTCCCGGGTTTGATTCTGGTCAAGGGCACATGCCGGGATTGTGGGCTTAATCCCCCAGTGTGGGGCGTGCAGGAGGCAGCCGATCCATGATCCTTTCTCGTCATTTATGTTTCTATCTCTCCCTTCCTCTCCCTCCCTGTCTGAAATCACTAAAAATATCAAAATGCATTTAAATCAAGGGCAGCTGTGAAAGGAACAATGGAAAAAGAAGAACTCTCAACACTTGAAGTTATTTTTAGAATGCATGCCTGTGGACTTCGATGGTGGGTATGAGTGTACTCGGAACTTTTAGGACCTTATGGCCAAGTTGGATCACCAAGTTAATTTTGAAATTCGTTTTGAGCTCCTTTGCAGCTGGACTTACTCAGCCCTGGTTAATGTATGTAACTCACTTGTCAGATTTCAGGTGGGCAGGCTTCGAGAGAGGCTGACATGGTATTCAGGTCGCACCAAATTTCATTCACGCAGCCCTGATGCAGCTTATCATGGAAGCTCAACTATTT